AGAAGGCCATATTCAGACACTACTAGTGTGGCACCCTCGGGCATTTGCAAGTAAAGTTGATTTCTTCAAAGAGATGGTTCATGAAGTTAAAGCAATGGGCTTGGAACCAGCAAAAAAGTCCTTTATTTATGATCTTCGTCCAAAGACAACTATGAGCAAGGAAACTTGGGAAAAAAAGGAGGAGCTTTTGATGAGCTATGGTTGGTTGGAGGAGCAATTTCAATCTGCATTTGTACTGCAACTAGTTTTCATGCTTACCTCAGAAAAAAAAGATCGAGAAAGTGATGGATTTCCTTTAAAACACTGTAGGTTTGAAGTCATCGGATGTAGCAAAGTGATGGATTTTCTTTTAATTGGTGGAGACTTAACGTGACAGGTAAGCAGTTCCGTGACGGAAGGATCGTTTGAGTTTTGGAAAAATAAAGTTTAAGGACAATTTGAGTCCTTTCTGAAGTTAAAGGATGAACTAAGTTTCAAAAAGAAAGTTTAGGGACCAAATTGGGTATTAAACCTTTAATCTCTTATCTTAATAAATTTAAAGGTTTTAACTTTTTATTTTATATTATAATACTTTTAATCTTTCACTTTATTAGATTTGTAAGTCTTAACCCCTCATTTTATATTATGATATTTTTAATCTCTTACCTATTATAATTGAAAAAAATAACCATCACTTTGTAACATTTTATTAGTTTTATTAATTAACTATTAACTTTATTATCTAACTGTTAGTTGATTATTAGTTGACAAAAATTTTTTTTCAACTAACAGAGTTAACAGAATTAATTTTATAATATTTTGTTAATTTTATTAATTAATTATTAATTAGTTATTAGTTGACAAAAACCTATTTTCAATTAACAGAGTTAACAGTCAATATAAAATGAGGCATATTTTTCTCCAATTTTAATAGTTGAGGAGCTAAAATCTACAAATTTAATAAAATAAAAGGTTAAAAATATTATAGTATAAAATGAGATGTTAAAACTTTCAAACTTTTATAAGATAAAAGAGCTAAAAGCAGGCTTTTACCCCAGTTTCCAGGACTCCCAATTAAGAACAAACTTTTTAATTACCGGTTCTTTGCAAACTTCGTACTACAGATTACCCATCTCTCATTATTTTTTATTTTAAATTTATTAATTATTTTTTATTTTTAAAGAAAAAATTATTTTTTATTTTAATTTTAATTTTATATATTTATTTTAATTATTTATTTAATTGTAAATTTTCTTATTTTTTATTGTTTTTAAAAATATTATAAATAAATATAAATATTATTATTATATTTTAAATTAAAAATATAAAAAAATGACAGTTATTTTGATACATTAGATTTAATACTAACAATCTACTATGAATACCAGTAAAAAAAGTCACTAATCACTATTAATACTAATTAAAGCATAATCTATTTTATAATTTACCGACCAATCTTGAACTATAATTCTCTTAATCCTTTGAAATAATTTCAGAGATTCAAATAATGATACATAGAAAAGTTATGTATGAGACTCTGGATCCAAGTTCATTAAAGTGGACTAGTAATTTTTTGTTATTGATTGTCACAAAGCCTCTACTATTATTTGGGTAGGCAAACACTTCTATTTTAATTTTTTACATTTTTAAATTTTAACAGTATGTTTATTGTGAAGAAATAAGAACAATTTTTTTTTTTAATTCTATATTAATTTTCTTTGTATTTTGGTACATTCAAATGATGACTTCTTTTCAATTTTTCCCAAATCAAGCCAACCCCAAATGGATATCAACATAGCCCTACCATGACCTTTATTACATATATATAATTTTTCCTAAATTATATATATTACATATATATAATTTCAATTTTTTTTTAATAATTAAAATTTATTTATTTTGTATAAGACTTCTGATCCAGATGTTATCCTAAAGCTAATCGGAAGGAATGCTTTGATCGATTTTGGAAAGATGGCGAGGTTTAATAATAATAATATAAATAATAAATAGTTTTTGTTTGTTGATAAAAAAAAAAATACAGTCAAATAAATAGGATTAGAGGTGTAATGATAAAATGCTTAACAAGAAGAAGTGTATCTTGAGAATGAAGTCTCAGGTGAAGCTAAAATGAGATCACTGCTAAGTATGCATATGGTGATTCTCATGCAAATTCTGCTCAGTTAGGGCTTGGGAGGAAATCAAAGTGTGTCAGAACCTGGACTGTGCTAATAGTGCCTTGCACAATCCCAGTCTAGATCCTTTAGATTGGCTCCAAACATCAAATACCCATCTAAAACGGAGGGATATTATAAAGGCAGTGGCGATCAAGTAAGACTAAACAGCAATATATACACTGTATGTCTCAATATGAACACACATCAAACAGCCTTCTTGGAAGGATAGACCTCATATTTCAAAGGACCCGGAGCTGCGCCAGGAATGCGGCACAAAGGTCTAAGAAGAGAAACTGTGGTCCTTGAACCCTTTGGAGATCCAGTAGATACTTCTCATCACGAGTTTTATAAAGCTGTTAACAACCATTGCACCAGAACATATTAGCATTCAATTTGAGGGACAAGTGATTTTAGAAGTGCAGGCATAAATTTATCTGCCTGCTGGAGGAAGGTTTTGCAATGCATCTAGCAAATAACACAGTACATGGCACACACAGTCCTCCATTGCTGGCCTTCTAAATAACTTGCAAAACAATAATCACAGGGAAGTTCCTCAGACAGGCATTACCTGCAGTTCAAACTTGATGACATTTGGTGACTGAATAATCCCATCATTCTCGATAATGCTTGATTCATCCCCAAAGTAAGGATTACTGTGCACAGGATTGTTAACCATGCCTTCATGGTGACCAGGGATGCCAGGAATCCACCTGCACTTCATGTTGTAGTGCCCTATCTTCTTCCAGCACACGTTCAATTCTTGCAGAGCTTTAAGAACTTCTGTAATAATTTCACGAGGATGTGCTCGAGACTGCAGAACAAAGGATAAAAAATGATCAATAATAATAATCAAAGGAACTGCAGAACAAAAGATGATAGACAAAGCAATTTCAAAGTATGATTTAAATGAGCCATTTGCAGTGTCACCCACTAAAGCATTGATAAAAGCATGAGTTGGAGTTTTTTCCTAAATATCACAGAGAACAAGTTGCTAGAAGTATTGACCTTTTGAAATGTCTAAACACGATGCATAGTCACCTATTTAACAAAATCACATGTACGTTGACCAAAAAAAACTAAATCACATGTACAACAAGTTGGCACTATTGCACATGAAAACCGCCTAACCTGAAGTCCAAGAGCCCATTTCCTCTCGATAGGATACTGTCCTCTTAAGCCCAATTGTGTCAATCCTGGGTAATCCATATATCCTGTCAGACGGCTCGCAACAGCTGGAGGCACTGGGTCACTTGGATGCATACGGTTAAAACCACCATCCTAAAGGCATTTATTTGAAAAGGAAATATGAATTAGAACTTCTAATCTCAGGGAAGTATGGAAAGACAAAATAATGGTAAACATCAATATTCAAGGTAATAAAAAATGGTCTATACAGTAGCAAATTGAATTAAATTACGAGTTTATGGAAAATTAAACTTCAAAAGTAGAAAGAAAACGCACCATTGCCTCTTGAAATTCTGCTCCAAGATAGCCACTGGAGACCCGGAACCGATTGTCCAATAACAAGTAGTATGCAACAGTTGCCTGATTGGTATTATCACAGTAGTGAGAATCTGATGAAAACTGAAAGATTAGGACATTGGTTGGAGAAGTACAAACCTCATCTTGTATTCTGTTGCGAAGTGACTCAATGAGGTGATTCCTGTCAAATCCCATCTTAACTACTTCCTGAAGAATCTCCTCATCAATCTGAAATTATGTTGGAATGGTTAAACCAGTGCTGACAATAAATAACAAGAGTACTTGAATGTATCATGGACAAGAAGTCTGAAGATCCCATGCATTTGCCCAATAGCTAAATAGGGGCGGAGTCAAGAATTTTTTTGGGGGAGGGGAAGGGAGGGGGGCCCCGGGGGGGGGGGGGGGGGACTTTCAGGAACATTACAATATTTAGAATTTTTTATGCAAAACACGTTAAAAATTTTAAAGACTTTTATGTGAGAGTAGGGATCCACTAACAAGTCTTACACACCACACGTACACAACCATTCATATCTCTACTTTCAATGGTTGAGATTTATTCACATTTATTAAAGATAATTATTGTTTTCATTTAAAAAAGTCGTGATAAATCTCAACCATTAAAAGTGAAGAGGTAAATGGTCAAGATTTTGTGTAAGTGTGGTGTGTAAAATTTGTGTGTAAGTGGATCCCTCCTCTTTATATGATATTTCTAAAAACTTAAGTACTTATTTGAGAATTTTAAAAAGGACTACAATGCATTTTTCCCATAATTTGAAACAAGCAGGGACTATTTTTCATCTTTTATGAAATATTAGGGATCTACCTGCCAAATTCAGGAATCATCAAGGACTATTTTACAGCTAATCCCTTTTATCATCTTCAACCTTACGGCACAACCCGTACATGTGCCCAAAAACCACTAGATTTTTTAGCCTAATATCTCCCTCATTTCTTAACCATTTTAAGTGTGTAATACATCAAAATAAAGTTTATGAAGAGATCTATCTACTCATACCAATTTCATAGCATATAATCAAAGATGCAAAATTATGCTATTAACAAGGATTTAAGAATAAAAAAAATTCAATTTGTGCAAAGGATAGTAGATATCTTTTATTTCAAATGCCTCAACTAAAGACCACAGCAAAGTTTTGATATTAATTTCTTAACATGAAAGACATATTTATTGAATACCCAAATTTAAATCCTAAAAAATAATTACACATACGAAAACTTAAAATTTTCAAAGTTTTGGTTGGAAGGCTGAGTGCCCCCTGCCACCAGGTCTCTGCCTCTGTGACTACCCAGATCTTAAAACATGACTTAGACATGAATTTACACAAGGCTTTTCAGGTGCCAGCCAAAAAAGGATACTAGAGGGGAAGAGAAGTATTTGAGATACATCATACAAGCCTTTTTCAATCCAATGTCTGTGGAGACTCAAATAAAGTAAGCTATCTTACATATCCATTAGGGTATCCAAAAGCTTTCTCTAGAATATATTTGCGCTTCTATATTAGCCAATGACATGAGCAACAATGTCTAAGTGACATTTCTAGAAGTTAGGAAAGCTAGATTTCAATATAACAAAGAGTTTGCTAGCTCAAAAGGAGAAAGGCCCTCAGAAACTAATAAAGCTAGAAAATGCACTTCCCCAGCTATCCATCTTTGAGGAAAACAATGCACACATATTACATGTTTATAACTTAAGTTAAAAATTAAGAATTAAAAAATCACCTAACCTTTTTTGCCTGTTGCATTGTATCTGGTGGTGGAACAGCTAAATACCGTGGAAGGTGTGCTTGAAACCATGCATGCTGACGGATCTCAGGAATGGTGACCCTCTTCATTGGGTCAACAACAAGCATCCTTGGGATCAAATCTCTAGCACCTGATGATAAATGGCTCGGAAGAGTGTATATTCCACCCTGGAGGACAGAGAGCATGAATTGAAGGAGTTACACCAACTAGAAAAGGTAAAGACTACAACTAAGCAACCATTTCATATTTCTATACTTCAGGGCTAAAACATTGGCAAACTAATCACAAACGGTTCAGTAATAACATAGCTGACTAAAATCATTGCTCAAGGAGCACAATATTTTAGTAAGTGGATATCTTTAGTTGACAGAAGTATGTATTTTAGATTTATCCCATTTACCTTAATTTTCTTGAAAAGGTTGGGAATGTTTTCATCATCAAAAGGAAGGGTACCACAAAGAAGAGCATACAATATGACACCACAGCTCCATACATCAACTTCAGGCCCAGCATATAACTTCCCAGAAATAACCTATACATGACAAAGCAGATTATTACCGTAAAACCTTCATTCACAGCAAAGACATTGGTTTTCCAAGAGAAAAGCAAAACAAATGAAACACCTTCCCTAATCATAAATGTTGATAGTCCATCTTACATTTACTCCTATCATTTCATAATCATGTCAGAAAACAAAATGATTAAAAGAATTAATTATTTATTACAATTAAAAAAAATAAAACTTTATATTTCAAATTGTGAACATTACACTTTTAGAAATAAAGGTTTTCTCTTTTTTTTAAAAAAATTCTTATTAATCAAATCCTTAGCCATTTTGAGCTGTGGACTATCATCAGTGTTGTCAATAGCGGCCGCTATAGCGGCATAGCGTAGCGGCCAGCTACAGCCGCTATGACAAATTTTCATGGCATAGCGTTTCTTCAATAGCGGCTGCTATTACCGCTAATAGCGGCCGCCATTGTTGTCAAAATCTAGATTTAAATCTTAAAATCTTACGATTTTACGATTTCAGTAAGACATTTCGTGTAAAATCTATACTAAAATCTGAAATTCATAAAATCTAAGAATTTCACGGTAAAATCTAGATTTTACCGTGAAATCAGGTAAAATCTCGATTTTATCTTTTGTTTGGCAGCTGGACTTTTTGCCTATTTCCTTTTGGGTTTCTCATCTTGGGTTAATGAGTTTTGACTAGATAACCCATAAATTAAACTCATTTTTCATTTTAAAAGCTCACAACCCACACAACCCAACCACAAATCAACATTTTAATCGGGAATTCGGGACAAATTTGATTTAACCATCTAAAATTCTAAATTTAAGTCATCTTCTTCGTTTAATTTATTTGTGTTGTTGGATATTTAGATTTTAATTAGCTAATTTCGAGTTTCTAACTCTAAATTTGATTTATTGTTATTTAATTTTGATTTTATATAATTTATTATATATTATAGATTAAATTTTATAAAATCTCGATTTTACCGATTCGATTTTACGATTCCGATTTTACCTAACCAAAACGATTTTAGGTAAAATCTCGATTTTGACAACCTTGGCGGCCACAATACAAATAGCAGATAGTGTGCATAGCAGCCGCTATGTAATTTTCTTTGATTATTTTGATCAAATTACCATGTTAACCCCACATCTAAAGTTTAAGTTAAAAATTTTTAAGGTTAATTATGTCTTTCCAACTTTTCTATTTATAAATTAAAGAAAGAAAACCCAAAAGCTAAAAAAACTCATAGCCTCTGGTCTCGTCCTGCGCACGTCTGGTCTTCCGACTCTTCTCCTCCCAACTCTCCTCTCAACTCTCCTCCGACTTTTCTCCTCCCAACTCCCCTCTCGACTCTCCTCTACACTTTGCACAACATCTGGTCTCCTCTTAGTCCCCATCAGTCATAGCAAGAATGCAAGACAACTCTCACAGAGCTTACCCTTTCACACCTCCGGTAACTGGAGTTACTGGACTGCGATTGCTCACTGATCTGTACACCATATCATCTCCGATTTCAGGTAATCTTTCAAGTAAGCACTGATTTTA